CTGGGACAGCTGTTTATTCTGTGGACAAAGCAACCCCTGGGATAAACGTCCAGGGCGGGACACCTCAACCTGCTGCAGAGTACTTCATTCTGGAGAACGTTGACCCGGCAGACGGAGACTACAACAGACTCATCAGAGATGACGCTACCCACAACCGGATGTTTGCACACGATACAGATAACAGAATGAGGATCAAGGAAACATGTGACCCCGTCGAGTCAACTTGCAGCGGTTTATCAGCGGAATATTGTCCTGGAGAAATCAGACACCGTCTACAACAAACTAGGAGAAAGTGCTGCTTCAACTACGTTTGATGCGATGAATACCTATCACCGACTTGGAGACACCGCAACTGGAATCTACTACAAACTTGGAGAGAAACCTTCTGTTGCGGATGCGCAAGACACGTACAGCAAACTTAGAGAAGCGACAGCCTAGAGATCAGAATCTGCATCTCCTCGTCTTCCTGAGTCCGGAAGGATCAGACAAATGTATTCACTTCACTACTCAGCTGGGAATGAAGATATTTTGGTATTATTATTAAGATTCGCGATATGACTATCGATTCATAGTACTCTTGTAAATGTGTCTTCTCTAATAATTCACGTGAGGCATTCTTTTAGTTAGGCGGTGACAAATGTAACCCTGCACCATAACCGTGTTCATGAGTTTTGCTATGTGACATGTTTAAATAGTAAGGCCACGCAACTTTTGCAAATTCTAATTTTACTTGCATTATGTTTTCTCAGACAACTGTTACTTTATCAGTCTTGTTCCCTCAGTTTGGTTTCACTTTACGTTTTTTTTATAATCTTCTTGATGCACATACATGTACATTTATTTCATAGTTCAATCAGCAACGGTACAGTTACCTTCTATTTGTTCACATGAGAGCAATGACGAATCGTAGCTACGCTAAAACAAATCATTCTCAATTCTATGGTTTCAGACCAATTTTACGAAAGTATACCAATGTATTTAGATTTACTATGACTAATTGTAGGCACACTGTCTTTCCTCACACGCGAGTGTGTTGTGAAACCGGTGTACCTGTCAAAGCCTTTTTGTGTTTCAGCTGCGTCTGGTTACCATTGTATGAAGGTTTGTTTTAGCTATCAGTTAAAAGGTTCTATATTGAACGACGAAACCTTATCCTATCATGTTTGCACTAATGCATCGTCCCGAACAGGATGTGATTGTATGTTAAACATGTTAATACCTTTAATTACATAATGGCGTCATATGCCACTTATGTATGTCCGGTTTCCTTGACAAACTCCGATATTGATGGTTTTGATAGAAAATTATACAATAACAGTGTCATGTATTGATTGTTAATGTAATCAGTGAATATTCCATTACATGTTATTGTTTATTTTATTCTGTATCACTGGAACAATAAATTATAGTTTTGAAAAACTTTTCATCCGAGTCTGATTTGTACTTTGCATATGGACATCCGTCTAAGCGATTCAAGATGTCGGACCATTACCTCTTTGCATTCAATTTCAAACATTGCAAGCTTTACAACATTGACGTTAGTGAAGTACGCTTAGGGCAAAGACTTGTGGAGAGATAGTCAGCAGTAATGACATCCATGTTTAGATTCCAGGGCAAACAAACATTCCCGCTCGTGTGTGTAGAAGAAGCAGCTTCATTTGGGTCTTGTGGCTCCAGCGACTGCTGAATGTGAAGGCAGGTGGATTGGTGATGAATTGAACCTGTTGTACAGCGTCGCTTGCTGACGCCTAGGATCGTTGATTTTACAGTTACCCAGAGATTGATTGAAGTTCTTCAGTCGAATACAGCGAAATACACAATGTTCTAATACTTTTCCGTAAGACGTGCGTGTGAATGGTGTTCAGAAAAGGTCCCCAGTAACGTACGCTTGTCGAAAATGGATCGGATGGTAAGGGCTCGGTAATATGGCTTATTGCGCGTCATCGTACCTGGACGACATGGAACATTGTTCATAATATCAATCACTAGTTGTCTAGAAACCAGTGCATCCCTGAATATTCATCGGGAAACACAATCAGCTAAATTTCAATCGTAATCATCTGGTTTAGACTGTTGACTGAGTGTGATGACGGCTACCATTGGGGCCTGCTCTGACACGGAATCACCACAGAGTTCTTACCGTGCATTTGTGCTGAGGAAGTATCATCAATACTTCGACCTCGTGGATCTAGTGCTTCCAGACCAGTGTTGCCATGACGACATATACACAGATCAACCATATCATCATCGCTTTAGATCTAACAGCATGTAAAGTCATCGGTCAATGGAGTGATTATGTTTGGTTCAGGGAGACAAGAAACAAGCAACGCATTATTCTAACCACAAGGCAACCTAAAGCCTCATAATCATCGACACATACATTTCACCGATTTCACGGAGTGATTTTGTTTCTGCCAGTTTATGATCCAATGGACATATGATATGAGTGGAATTGTGAAGTGTGAAAGTAACCAGGTCTAATGGTTAATGGTCTTTCTCGTTACTGAATTCGGTTACCTAGAGGGCTGCAAGCTTTCTTTGTACCAGATTAAAATGTTATGTTAGTATGTACAACGTACGGTGACAACGCTATCCCCTCAGCGCGGATCTATTGGATCTTCGTTGGGACTAGTTCAGTGTACGATGATAAGGGTATCACCTCAGCCCGAGTGCAATGGATCTGTGCAGGGACTGGTTACACATAATGAAATGGTAGCCATGACGGAGAGTGTCATTTTATTAAACTGATGTAAACGCTTAAGATTTAGCAATTAGAAAGTCTCGGTACTCAGCCTCTACAGAAAATGTCCGTACCTAGCTGGTTGCGTGTCATCGTACCGTTGGTGTTGCCTGTTGCGGTTACCGTTTAGCTTGATATAAACTCTTTCTTTACCCGATGTGATACAGCTGAATTGTTGCTGACTGCAGCATAAAACGACTTATTATGGCTCAAAATCAGAGAGCAGGGCTTACTAGCCCCACATAAGCCCGTATACCGTCAGTAAAAATCCAAAATGGTTGTTACTGACCTAATATGAGACAGTATACCGTCGGTAACAGCCATTTTGGATTTTCGAACACCAACCTCACATATTTCACATGAAAATTCTGGTACAGAAATTCATTATTCGACACTGTTTTGTGTTTTAATAACATTACTTTTGAGGTGCAAGGACGTTAATGTTTTTTTGGATCATGTTCGTGACTTTAATATAGATTTATGTAAAGTTAAATTATCAACACGGTTTGGCCTCTGAGGTTTGAAGAGTAGTCTCCCCCTTTGACCCTGTAGAGTTGTTGTTTTTTACATAACGTGCGACAAAGATATCAAATCGTGTAAACTTTTCGGCATAATAAATTCGTTGTGGTGTCTTTAGTTGCCGTATACGGTGTCATATTAGATTACATACTAACGGGTAACAGTAACTGTTCTTAATATTTGGTTATTCGTCTGATCAATGTTTAATCATTATAAATTCATTGACAAAACCCATTCCAGATAGCAGGAGACACGCCCTAAACGAGCAGTGATATAACAGCTCAATTAGCAATGTCAATAACGGGTGTAACCACCATTAGCCTTGTCAGGCGAGGCAGTGGCGGTGCATTGAACACACCAGATGATTGAAAACAGTCTGGTGGATATTGTTCCAAATGTCAACTAAAGATTGTCCCAACTGAACTAGCGTTAACGCTTGATTTCGGTCCTGTCGTAGATGTCGATCTATCTCGTCCATTACAACCCAAGCAGCCTGTGAAGCGCTAGAAGGTTAACAGAAAAGGTAAACATACACATATTACCTACATTCACTGCTGTGTGAACAGAGGCACATTTCGAACAAAGTCACTTGCCCAAAGAGGCACCACATGTCCTACGAGCGTACACGTGCTTCAGTGAGCGGCAGGACCGAAGCCCTCGAAACTCCCTGGAGTCAAGCTGCCCAATGCGGTCACCCAGCCAACTATTCAGCAACTACCGACGTTGCTTAACTTTACGTGATGTGTGACCTGTGCACTACCACGTGCCCATATTTCATGGTTATTTCGGACGCATGACTTTACATTATCATATATATTACAAAAAAGTGTTCTCATTTTACAACTAACACCGTGATTATTAAGGCGATCACATAACTTACTTCGCTGAACAGAATCAAATGTTTTTGCGAAGTCTACGAAATGGGCATACATGTTTCCACCTTTTCTCTTTAAATATCTTTGTACAGTAGTTTGCAGTATAAAGTGGTTATCGACGGTTATGTAACCTTCTCTTAAGCCTGCTTGTGAGTCTCTTTTAGCCATAGCATCAGCCCAGAAAAAATACTCTTTTGTTTATAACGGAAGTGAATATCGTTCTGCACATACCAAGGAGAGTAATACCTCTATAGTTGTTTGCATTATTGATATAATCTTGTATGTGTATTGGAAGAATAATGCCAATGGACCCGGACGCAGGAAAATGTCCATTTTCTGAAATTATATTAGATACCAGATCCAAAGATGGTAGTAATAAATCTGCTGAATGCTTACAATAATCAGAAATAGTATGGGTCATTCCGATTGCCTTGTTAAATTGAAGATTTTTTATGCTATATAAAATCCCATCTCTAGAAACTGGAGAATCAAGAATATTCTCTGTAACTTCTCGATTTGGATAATTTTGAGCATCACTATCTGGTATTGTTGGATCACAGTTGACCTGACTTACACTATTGGTGCATAAAACAAGTTTCTAAAGGGATTTAACCTATCCTTGGTGTTAATATTGTTTCTTTGAACATATTTTCCGTTCAAACTTTCGGGCGTGGACAGAATCGATTTGGAGTCATTTATGTTGTTTTCGTAAAAATGTTGTCTTTCTTTATAATTATAAATTTCTTCTACATCGTTCTGATTTGAATCCTCACATTCATCATTAAACCTCTTATAAACATTTAACCGCGTCTAGGATAGTGCATGTATCCCGTTAGTCATTTCCGGACATCCTTATTCGAGTGTTACAGTTCCTAGCACAAGGTATTATACATACATGGCCGTTCGTCACACAGCGAGGAATTGTACTTCCCCTTTAAATGTGGCTTACATTAGGTGAATCCGAGCAGACGCATCAGTGGTGAGTACATGCCATGGTAATCTCTCACTTTTATCATCTCAAACGTTTGACGTATCTGCCATCATTGGTTTGAACACATGAACGTACTCTCGTCACGATATGGCTGAAATATTGCCGATGTGACGTAAAGCATTAACTCACTCACATGAACGTACTTCAGAAGGAAATTTCACCTTATCTGTACGAGGTGGTGCTGTTACGTTCAATATTGGTGTAGCGGTGTGCGGAGTCGTCCCACAGGCATCCTTACCTTGTCAGATAACTGACGGGTTTAACCTCTTGTCATGTGGACAAGGTGTCCGACCTCGGAATAGAAGGTTCGTGATTCGAATCGCTTAAGGAAACTCGATGTTAATAGATGGTACTTGTTGTTACCCTGCCTGGCGCTCGGCATTAAGGGGCTAAGCCAAAGACTGGTCGGCTCGGAGTCTGTATACCGTGTCTGAGTAGGGTATTCATGTTAAACTGTGGCATGGTATCTGAGTGGGCTAGCACTATAAATCGGCATTAACCGGACTAGCACACACACACACACACACACACACACACACACACACACACACACACACACACACACACACACACACACATGCACGTCGCTAAATACGTGAACTAATCTTGATCGCGACGTACTCCACTGTCGCCCACAACTTGGCTATTCAGGAAATCAACGCCCACAGGCTTCCTAGACATCTCACTTCCGAGATGGATTTCGCTATATCCGAGAATGTCCTCGCTATAACGTAGGTCCTCATATCTCCATTGCTGCAGTAACCTATAACAGTAACCCCGTTACACCTGAAGCAACCAAAATGATTGAATAACTTAACAACTTTCTTACGAGAGCAAAATGCTTATACTAAATTTACTATAAAATTGTTTTACGAGAAGACACATGTCAATAGGTGATGTAAGTGTAAACCTAATTAGTCAGCTATGTATTACATTGTACGTTGTTATTTTCCACCAAAATCTATATATGCCGTCTTTTGTTATTAATGTAAATCGACTGTTTGTTTATGTTATATTATAGGAGAAAGATGAAAAGAGGACGCTCTCCAGCAGGTATCTATTTCTATGTTTGTGAAACTGTATTTATAAAACAGTCCACATTTTGACAGAGATAGTCGTACTCAAATTCCTTAACAATAGTATACGTGTATTTGTATATCTCGATGTAAAAGGAAACGCTATCGGCTCAATAATCAGCAGATTTCAGAAGTTGCATGTTCCTAAATTCTCGTTGTTCTGAGGCTTTATTGAATTCGACCAGATAGGGTTCATATCGGTATATGTAATAGTCGATGTTTAAATTCGTATGCGTATGTATATGTGTCAAGTATATAATATAATCATTCATTTCAGCTAGAAATGCCGGGAATATAAGAAACAGGTAATTTCCTCTTTGTCAATGCGCCGTCCCGGTGCATGTGCTTGTTACAATCCATACCCATTCTGACTGTCGCTAAGACAATGGCGTAGTGTTTATGAGTTAATTAATCTAAAGACACCCTGTTGTATTTAAGTCACGTTCCATAGGGTGTTCTATGACGTCACTGACTCGACAACATTCAATGACTTGTGACCAGTTTTGGGTTTGTAGTAATGTTTAGGAAACCATTAAATGTTGCTAAGCAATTCAACTGAAATAGATAGTATTGCAAATTAAACCTTCGTATTTCCAGGTGGAAATAGAAGTTCAGATATCGTTTCTTGAAATGAAAGCTGAGAACACACATGGAGTCGTGTGCATTTAATCTCAGTATTATGTTTTGTTGCTGTAGATCTGGAAGTAGCAGCAGTTCTCGTAGTACTTCACGTGAGTAAAGCCATTAATTAGTTACCATTGATACTATTAGAGCGGGATGGGAGTGCTGGGAAATAATCTTGTCTCATCAGGTTTTTCCAAAAACATGTTTGCTGGACATTTTTATGTCCTAATTAAATAGGCTGTGATAACAAACCAAAACACTCGCGGTATCAAAGCATCTATTGAATACCTCAGAGTGCTGACAAAGTGTTTCATGTTCAAAATATGTTGAAAACTTAATGAACGTTCTAATTCTAAAACAACAGCTGATATCTAGTCCCTGCAACCACAGGTAAACCATTCACAAGTTCCACCACAACAAGAGGTCCCACTAAAGAAACAGATGACACCATAACCACGGGTGACGATACAACCACAGGCATAAGCACAACAGGTATCCCATCAACCCCAAGTACAACTGTGGCCGGGCCAACCACTGGTACAACCACAAGCAAACGAACAACCGCAGGAACGAACGCAGGTACAGTCATGGTGACAGCTATATCAGTTATACAAGTGTACAAGTAGGAGATCAAGTACACACATAACTAGTTATATCCACCAGTTAGCAAAATAACAAACAATAAGAGCACATTCCACATTGCGAGAAAGATCATGTTGTCCCAAACCGACAACAATTAATCATAAATAATTATGACAAATATATTAAAATATAAATTAAATTCACATAGATATACAAGTTTATTCAATCATTTCGATGTGATAATAATAATGATGATTATATTGATGAATGGTGATACATCTTCTGTAAACTTGCACATTTCCATGTACAGGTGGGGCCTCGCCTCAGACCGACACTGCTGTAGCAGCTGGAGTAGTTGGTGGTCTTGTCGGAGGTGTCGCCATCACTGTTGTACTCGTTCTGCTGTGGCGTTTAATTCTCTCTCGGAAAAGGTACTGTTAATCAAAGCTAGAATCCATTAGCAACTTGTACTGTCATGAACTGGAAACACAAAGTTTCTTACAATGAGTATGTTTTTAGGTCCAAATACAGGGAGCTCCGATTCCAACGCTCCAAGAAGCGGTCTGTTGGTGTGTGTTGACGTATTAATGATATCTCACCATACCAACAACGTTCAAAATCGCTGGAGACATGAGCAACAATAACCGAAGTGTTGACAGACATCCAAATACTTTTAAACGAGAACTAAAAGCTTAACCGGTTAGGCAATATTAACAGAGAAGAACAAACGAGCTACGTGAAATTGTTGTTCAATCCTGATCTCATCCGATTGAATTGTAAGTGATGTAACACGACTCACTGGTGGCCCTTTCATGTGTAAGTAATTCTTAATTCCGACGTTCTAATAGTTTGATTGTATGTGCTGCGTGTAATGTACGGGGTTTTCTTGCACCTCTTGATGTTTTTTACAAATATAACGAAAGCTTGAGTAATACTACTTCCGGTCACAAACTTCCCATTCACAGACACCGAGACAGACTGGACAAAGGGGGGACAGGAGGCATGGGATTGGTAAGTCAGAATAATATCTTCATTTCTAGAGTCATAATCAACATTTGGAGTATACAGTGAGTTAAATTTTTACATCGCATCGTCAATATTGCAAGGAGACCGCCTCCGTGGTCTAGTCGCGATATCGCGATTGTAGCGGATTGTAGCGGTTATAAAACTCATATAATGAACCGAAATATCAGGCACCACCTATTGATAAAAAAAATAATTTATTGACCGGTTCAAATTACGTTAATCAATAAAAAATATTATAAATCTGCTCAAAAGGATTACCGCTGAACTCATTGTTGAAAGATATATTACCAGGTTTGGAATGCAAACGCCAATCTAAATCATCTATGCATTTAATTTGTTTTCCGTCTCATGTCAAGACTTCAGGCAGTGAAAACGGTTTTATTCTTTAAATCAGTATAAACCTTTTCTCTTGTTATCCCATATAATTGTGACCGCCTCCGTGCGTGGTCTAGTGGACAGAGCATCGGCAAGGAGACCGCCTCCGTGGTCTAGTGGGTAGAGCATCGGCAAGCAGACCGCCTCCGTGGTCTAGTGGGTAGAGCATCGGCAAGGAGACCGCCTCCGTGGTCTAGTGGGTAGAGCATCGGCAAGGAGACCGCCTCCGTGGTCTAGTGGGTAGAGCATCTGCAAGGAGACCGCCTCCGTGGTCTAGTGGGTAGGGCATCTGCAAGGAGACCGCCTCCGTGGTCTAGTGGATAGAGCATCTGCAAGGAGAGCGCATCCATGGTCTAGTAGGTAGGGCATCTGCAAGGAGACCGCCTCCGTGGTCTAGTTGATAGGGCATCTGCATGGTGACCGCCTCCTTGTTCTTGTGGATAGAGCAACAGCACGGAGACCGCCTCAGTGGTCTAGTCGGTAGAGCATCTGCAACGAGACCGCCTCCGTGGTCTAGTTGATAGGGCATCTGCATGGTGACCGCCTCCTTGTTCTTGTGGATAGAGCAACAGCACGGAGACGGCCTCCTTGTTCTAGTGGAAAAAGCAACAGCACGGAAACCGCCTCCGTGGTCTAGTGGATAAGGCATCTGCATGGAGACCGTCTCGTGGTCTAGTGGATAGAGCATCAGCACGGAGACCGCCTCCTTGTTCTTGTGGATAGAGCATCAGCACCGAGACGGCCTCCTTGTTCTAATGGATAGAGCAACGGCACGGAGACTGCCTCTGTGTTCTCGTCGGTAGAGCAAAAGCACGGAAACCGCCTCCGTGGTCTAGTGGATAGAATAACAGCACGGAGACGTCCTCCTTGTTCTTGTGGATAGAGCAACAGCACGGAGACCGCCTCTGTGGTCTAGTCGGTAGAGCATCTGCAACGAGACCGCCTCCGTGGTCTAGTTGATAGGGCGTCTGCATGGTGACCGCCTCCTTGTTCTTGTGGATAGAGCAACAACACGGAGACGGCCTCCTTGTTCTAGTGGAAAAAGCAACAGCACGGAAACCGCCTCCGTGGTCTAGTGGATAAGGCATCTGCATCGAGACCGTCTCTGTGGTCTAGTGGATAGAGCATCAGCACGGAGACCGCCTCCTTGTTCTTGTGGATAGAGCATCAGCACCGAGACGGCCTCCGTGGTCTAGTGGGTAGAGCATCGGCAAGGAGACCGCCTCCGTGGTCTAGTGGGTAGAGCATCGGCAAGGAGACCGCCTCCGTGGTCTAGTGGGTAGAGCATCTGCAAGGAGACCGCCTCCGTGGTCTAGTGGGTAGGGCATCTGCAAGGAGACCTCCCCCGTGGTCTAGTGGGTAGAGCATCTGCAAGGAGACCTCCCCCGTGGGACGTCCTCCTTGTTCTTGTGGATAGAGCAACAGCACGGAGACCGCCTCAGTGGGCTAGTCGGTAGAGCAACAGCACGGAGACCGCCTACGTTTTCTAGTGGATAGAACATCAGCACGGAGACCGCCTCCGTGTTCTAGTGGGTAGTACATCAGCGCGGAGACGACCTTCGTTTTCTGCACGGAGAACAAAATGTCGGTGGTTCGATCTCCGGCCGCGTCAATCCACGTTAAGATCGTACTTGCTGTTTCCCTGACAAGGACTCAGTATGCTTTGTCTGAGTGCGGAATCCATGTTAAACTGTGCATGGCATGGTATCTCAGCCCAGCGACCACTATAAATGCGGCATCCTGAATCCTGAATATTGTTTTATGGCAGTTCAGTATTCTTTCTCCACATGTATTATTCAATATTTAAAGCTATAATGTTGAGGATGTAAATGTTATGTCATTCCTTTCTCAGATTCACGCAAACAGTTCCAACAGTAACGTGTCCCCGGGGGGTAATTTGATGCCACCCAGTGTCCCGGATGTAATCATGGTGTCTCCAGGACAACACGCCCCCGGTATGGCTGAAGCTGTGTACGATGTTATTCAGGAGGCAGAAAATTACAAAGACGATGGTCCCTCCCTCCAACCAGGGAGGTTACACAGAAATCCCCAACACACGGAACGTCAGTACACCCCTGATAGAGAGTGCCTTGTCGTGGAGAAAGATGACCACACAAGTGGCGACGACAACCGACTGAGGGACGCAACAACGACTGATGTAAAAGATACATACAACAGATTGGGAGCAATCGAACCCGACAGTGATGACACTAAGACAACTGGAAACAAAGGGACAACAGCAGAATATTTCGTCCTTGAGAAATCAGAAGACGCATACAACAAACTTGGGGGCGACCCTATCAAATCTTCGACTTATGAAAAGAATGCCTATCATAGACTGGGGGAAACTGTTGCTGACACTATAACTTCTGATACACCTGATTCTAGAACGCCATCATCAGACTACTTCGTCCTGGAGCGGCTAGATGATGCCGACACTAAACTGGGAGAGAAGACGTCTGCTGGGCACGCATACACCAGATTTGATGTTGCATAACTGTTCCAACTCATTGACTGGGGTACCACGAAAACCATTCCCGTCAGTCAAAAGAACACATAACTTTCATCGTTTTTCATAACAAACGATATCAGTATTGGCGAGAACTCTGATAAACTGCCTGGAAAATTAGTAAACACCCTTTTGTGACGATGGCTTTAAATGAAACAAGCAAGAAATTGTTATTTGATGGTAATGTATTTGATACGTGTATTAACGTTTTGGTCCTTAAATGTGCAGTGTTTCGGTGCCTGTTTACAGCCCAGTAACGTTTTGTTAACAATTGTAATTGTTTCTGTCAAATCCAGTTTTCAATTGTCGTGGGTTTTCGTCCTTGCATTATAAATACACCTGGGTCCTCTTTAATGCTTATGAGGATACTGCTTACTGCTTGATACGGTCGATATTTTGGACTGGGTAGGTTTTGACCATATGAGTAATTACTTATCATATATATCAACCCCTATTTCACTCATGTCTTCAACCACGTGAAGAAATACTTCCAGAAGTCGTTTAAGCTGTTGCCCGCAATGCTTCCTGGTCGCAGTCCTAACCAGATAGGGAGTATAAGAAACGTAAACGCATGTGTTCGCAGTTTCTTGTATTTAATGCTGAATTATACTGAAGACTTGATAGAATAAGGGATCTATTTGGCCCCCTGGAAATGTTTATAAATGTGTAAAATATTGGTATAGAGATTATCAGACATGTTCACATGAAGACAACTAGCCTTTATGTGTGTTTTTTCTTACACATGCTATTTTTGGATTTCTGGCATGACCCGAGATGATCAGTTTTCGATATGGCTTGTACTGTTTTTACTCTACATTTCCTAAGAAAAGCAGCTTCAGTCCAAGACTTTGTCATGTTCACATATTAGAAAAATGCTTCCCGGAAACCTCTACAATCACCCTTCTGACACATTTAGGTTTACTTGTGCCTAACGTGCAATAGTTGAAATGAACAGTGTCATAAAGGATTTCTACATCTATTGATAATGCCTCTTGGGACAAACTAGACGCATTCCATACCTTGTTCTTTGCACTGAATCCTTCGTTTCCTTCGCTGAAATGTTGACAATAGGTTGACATAGTATGACTGTCTCCCCTCACACACCAAGCGTCTCCCACTAATGGTTTGTTTAAGGTATAGTGAAACAATGGAAATACTAGCTTTAAATCTTTCTTAAGCCTATTTGATAAAACATAAACTCACTATACACGATATTTTAAACATCCAAATATACAATTCACGAAAATGTTGGAAAGACATTTAGATATCAAATAAAAGACTTTCGAAGCAAACTGTAGCAGATTTCAGTGGCGCATCTTCACAATATTTTGATAATACGAGTAGTTTAACATATTTTCCGTGACTTCCATCTTTGATGACATGTTTATCGTTTCATTGATTCTATTATCTGGACACGGAAGGCCGATATATTTCCAGTTTTCCCATGGAAAGTGCTTCATTATTGCCCGAGCTATCATGTAGGTAGCTGGTGAATAAGCCGAGAGGACCCGAAGGAACTGCCGGTTTGTTAGCTACATTATATGCCTCTGAGGTGCGGGGTATAAAGAGATTGGAAAAGATTTAAACTGTCCATTTAATTGCTTGCAAGAAATTTCTCAAAGTTGGTCCCCAAACACCTAATGTAACTTTATATGGTGAATGTGGCCGATACCCGATATGTATAACGTTGTCGGTGTATAAAATACTGGCTTTAACTTACCGAAATGCACAATGGTAGAATTCCTAAGAAAGCCTGTGATATGCTTATGAACGATGATAATGGTGGACACCAAACCTATGCATTTACTGTACGCACTTTATTGTTTTCCCATGGATTTGAATTTGTATGGATTGGATATGTCTTGGAAATAAATTTGCTTTTCTTAGACGGTATAAAAAGGTTGCAATGGCTATGTACCATCAATCATGGAATAGTATCATAGAAAAGAGCACAAGATAAAACATGATATATAAAGAGTTTAAAAGTTTAATGGAACCTGTTGAAATGACAGAGGACGGGGTTGTTAACGTTCAAAGTTAACGAAAGGGAATGGTCGGGGATTGATTTAGGTTTACGTATATGTCCTCTTTGTAATCTACGGATAGAAGATGTGTATTCTTTTACCTGAATGTGTAATTCCTATAAGAACATAAGATACATCTACCTGTCTAAAATGTATTGCCTTACTGAGAAATTTATGTAAATATCTATGTCAAAGTTATAAGATTTGCAAATACTGGAATGCTATGAAATAAGTTACGTATTAATTCATGTACCATTGTATTATGTATGTATGTTTGCACTTTCTCTGTACAGGGGCCAGTGGCCTTCATACGAATAAAAGACTTGACTAGGAACATGTTCGTTTGTTGAGACAATAGGATTGTTTTAGAATGTGTTTGCAGTAACCATATTATGTTTATACCGCGTAAAATAGTCAAACTTAACCTGTTTCCTCGTAGCTATTTGTACAATAGCACGTTTGTATTGACAAGAAGAAGAAGACACATACATATTGAAGCAACTATCCGCATATACTTCGCCCGTGCTTGTAGCAGATATGCTGCATTAGTTCACACACTTTGGAACAACTTTCATCCTCAATCTTGAAAAATGTGTTAATGTGCGAATAATCCCTGTGCCATCCCCCGGTCTTAAGCTGACATGAGTGTGCCACCCTAAACCGTACTGTCATATATTCAACATCACAATAAAAAAAGGACATAAAAAACATTCACATTTATTTGCCACTGATCAAGGTTGTTGGTCGAATTTAGTTCCATAATTCAACTGACTCTGTCCACTTAAGAAAAACCATTAGAACATTTCAACATGCAGCTTAAGTGCATGAGTTAAAGGATAATGAGGAAATCTTAATTCAGAAAGAGCGGATATATTAGATCTTAGCTACACTAAATCTGATTCCCTGATAACCTTGAGATCGAAGGTGACCTTTCCTACCTACAGTAGACTATAGTAGCCTGGTGGTTAAAGCGTTTGCTTGAAAACCCGGGTTCGATTCCCCACATGAGTACAATGTGTGAAGCCCATTTCTGGTGTCCCCCGCCGCAGGAATATTGCTAAAAACGGCGTAATACAATACTCACTCACTCACTCACTCACTTCTACCAACAACATAGATCTGGATGCCAAGGAAAGTTTAGCAGCTAGAAATAAACACACTGAGTTCATATTGGATTATTGCATGTCATCGGATCCCAATTTTCATATGCACTCGAATTGTTTCCACGGTCTTGAACAATGTAATGTGAATATGCAATAATAATACTAATGTAAACACCAAAACTCCTCAGTAAACACCGACTCGAAGTCTTAGCTCAAATACGGCGCAAAACCAAAACTACCCAAAGGCAAGTCACGTTTAGTGTTTGTGAAATGCACAAAATAGTAATTTGTGAAAAGTATTGTATACAAACGTAAAGAGACGCACTGAAAAAAACTGTTGACTATTTACATCATTTATTTCTAGCACGTCGCAGGAACGCAGTCGTTTTGCCTCGTTTGACGTTTTTTGCACCTGCAGCGCAAATCACATGCAAAAATGCGTGTATTTCCCCCTTGTCCATCCTTCATAAGCCACCATAGAAAAAACACCAAACATTTCACACTCAACTTTGAAAAAGAACAGGAAACATGGTTCGATTAACTGAACTCCAGAGAGGCGTTGTCATTGGGATGCTGCAGGCCGGATCAATGTCAACTGCAGTGGCTAGGCACTTTGGAAGTCACGTGTCTACCATCACCAGATTGGTCGGAAGAGGGTCACTACTCCAGCGCAGGACCATTACATCCAGGTGACACATCTGCTTGACCGACAGCGACGAGCAACACAGACAGCGGCAACCATTCAAGGTCCACGTCATTTCGTGTCAGCCGACACAGTTCGTCGTCTTCTAAGAGCGGCAGGAATCAGATGTCGTCGTCCTTACGTCGGGCCCATACTGACTCAACGTCACCGCCAATAACGTCTACAGTTGACGTTGGCGACGTGAAAAACTGGCAACAAGTTGTCTTCTCAGATGAATCATGGTTCAACCTTTCTCACGCCGATGGCCGCATCAGAGTGTGGAGACGACGTAATGAGTGTTACGTTTACTACTGTGTCTAGCAGGCCGACTAGTGGGGAGAAGGAAGCATCATGGTGTGGGGAGGCAGGACCCCTCTACACGGGTTCCGTCAGCGTATGACTGCTGACGTGTACAAGGATGATGTTCTTCGTAATCACGTCAGACGTCTCTTCCTGGGTCAACCTCAACTCTTTCGCAGGACAACCCTCGTCTCCATACAGCACGGGTCTTGTGATGCCCTGTTCGTCTTTGTCACTGGACATGGCGCCAATTGAGCATGTCTGGGACGAGATTGGGAGACGTCTTCAGGCTGCAAAGAAGCCTTATGCACTTCAGGAACTGGAAACCTTTTTGGTGCGGGAATGGAACGGGATTCCCCAAGCCTTCTTCTAAAGACTTGTCGATTCAATGAGACGGGATCGATGTGCGACCTGTATCGCAGCTAACGGAGGCCACACACGCTACTGATGGACACAACTGACACTCTGTTTAGGGGTACCCTTTCTTCGGGGGATTTTTCAATAAACGGATTTTTTCACGGATGGTTGTCATCAAACAATCAACGCCCATTTGTTATCAAATGTTTTCTCAGTTATCATTTCTTAATATCATCTACATATATTATATGGTCTTTACGTTACCCGCATTTTGTGTACGATTTGCGTTTCTTTTGCGGTTAAGTATATATGATCAAGATATTAAGATATTGGGATATTTTCTAGTAATACCAACAAAGAAGCTGTAATAAGGTTGATCCATTCATTGAAATCGATATAAGAAGATCACGGTGACCTTGCACATGCTGTTAATGAAATTTTGAAGGCGATGCTCGTACTTATTGATGCAGCATGTGCAAACTTTGTCATTTCATTACTATCCTGGAGGCCAGACAGATAACAAACCTTGGTTTGAGAACGAAAAAAAATACTTTTTACAGCTAATCAGCTCTATCTTAAACATAAATCAACGCAAATTCTACACACACAAATTATTCTAATTGGTCATAAGTAGTTTAAAATCAAATATCTAATGCCAGTTGATACCTCAACGGAAACCATTCTGAAGTATGTAGGTATGACAGCTTATAGAAATTGTTCCTCTTCACACAAAAACCTTGCGTATGAAATATCGATATATTGATAACACTGTGGGTATAGATAATAAATAATCTACTAGAATTGCATACCTAAGATATACGTCAGATATCTGAACAGCTTGTCAAACATGATGAACACACACAATAATTATTCAGTAAACACACACCACACTACAGACTACAGCGTCAGGGGTACACAATCATGGGTCACAAAAATGAGCAGTCTCTAACCTTTCTCGCGTGTTGGAAACTGCCGACTCGTCTTCAACCTACAAAAGCGGTATTCATCCAAACTTCAGAGTGGTTCGTTGGCAATGTTCCAGCAGGCGCATTACCACCTGGAGATCCTCACGTCACTGGGGAATATAACTACAGATTGGGGTTGTCCTCTAGGTTCATGCAATTTGTAAATAACACTGTCACCTTGAACAACCAGTTTGGCAGCAGTTTGGCGGGGTGGAGAGATGGTCCTGTCGTTCTAAATATATGTTACTGTTACTTTCGCCTCCTTTTTCTAGTGGTAGAGCGTCCGCCCGGAGAGCAGAAGGTCCGGCGGTTCGAACCCCGCGTCATACCAAAAGATTTTTAAAGATGTTCCTTGTTGTTACCCTGCCTGACGCTCGGCATTAAGGGTCTTAAACAAGGACTGGTCGGCACGGAGTCAGTAAACTGTGTCTGAGTGGAGTATTCACGTTAAACTGCGGCATGGTATCTCAGTGGGTTAGCACTATGAAATCGGCATTAGTCCGGACTAGTGCAAGCAGCCACACACACACACATGGGCAAGTCGCTGTATCAGTGCAATAATCTTGGAGGGTTATTTAATCAATTCTTTTTCAAAAACTATGTTTTTTTGTAATCACTGTAATAGTGTTAATGGCCAGTTTAGTTTATGAGTAATGGAATAATATTCATTCGAGCGCTTCACTCTGGAAGAGCGTCATTGTGATTATCGAAAACTGGAATTGTTCCTGAACAAAAACATAAATGATGTGAGACCTGGTCGTAACGCAACCAGAACACAGTCTTTGAATTCTTAGTTCCATTGGCTCCATGACCGCTTTACGAATTGCATGTGTCGTGAGTTTTTGTTCTGGATATAATCTAACAATAAAGTCTTCTTATCACAGACCGGCTCCGTGGTCAAGTGGTAGAGCGTCCGCTCGAAGATCGGGAGGTCGTGGGTTCGATTCCCGTCCGCGTTATACCAAAAGACTTTAAAAGATAGTACTTGTTGTTACCCTGCCTGGTGCTCGGCCTTAAGGGGCTAAAGTAAGGACTGGTCGGCTCCTATTCGGTGTACTGAGTTGGGTATTCATGTTAACCTGCGACATGGTATCTCAGTGGGCTAGCACTATGAAACTGGCATTTGCCGGGACAAGTACGCGCAGTCACACGCATGCGCGCATGCGCGTCGCTTTATTACTGCAATAATCTTAGACGCGACCTTAAACCCCATTTCACCCCACCTCACCATCCTATCACAACCAATCCTTTACCGCAACCGAGCATTTTAAAGAACAATGTTCTGTGTCTCTAAAGGTAAATAACCTGTATGTTCCAACTGGTAAGGTCGAACAATGTATCACAATTTATTGCTGCAGATTGTTGTCTTTCATATTTTTGGAAATTCTGTTGTTTATGTTACTTTACATTTTGTGTATACTTATTTCAACATTTCATATAAGGATGACTTGCATGTTGGAGCGGCTTACTTCCTTCTTCCCAACACAATAGAATCAATAGCCCCATTCGTCGTTACCAGACCACCACGTCCCTTGCCAGGTTAACAATACATGTTGTCGCGGAATATACAGCCAGGAATATACTTCCCGGTTTTAACCCAGTGTTGGTTAAATAAACTGAACTGTACAGCTTTGGTACTGGAGTTTATCGGAGGTGAGGTCTTCTCACAACATATTTCTCTCTTCCAACAACAGCTCGTTGACTTGACTTGAACCTTGACGTCTCCATCAACTCCTGTTACCCAGGAGAGTCCAGTCAGGCACCTTGTAATGAGTCTCAATGTGCCTGAAGGATCTTAAGGACCTAAATGGCTATCTAACCTCAGGTACGTTATTTAACAGGTAACAATTTAATATACAATTTATAGGGGGCACGGGTGACCCAGTTGTCCAAGCTGTCGCAACTCGCTGTGTAGTGTTGCGTTTATTGGTCACATCAAGGTGGGTTCGAATCCCGGTTCACCCCGATTATGTTTCTAGGTTTGTCAGCACAATACCCGTGCTCGAGGGTTTCACCAAAGTGGTTAACGTCTAAGACCTGCACCACTTCGTGCTTTCCTTAAACATCAAGCTGAGACGTCGTTATATAACAGACATACTGTTCAAAGCTGCGTTAAATCCAACTCAGGTTGTCTAGGTTAAATTTTGCGTCTCGAGGGCAATCTCGTGTTTCTTTGACGTACTGAATTGTATACATCAGAAAACTTAGACTTCTTTAACAATTAACAACGATTGGCCCCTAGAAATTCCAATACTTGAGTGTGTCAGTATGGTTGGAAACAAGATACCAGTAGACTCCAGTACGCCACGAGGCCCTGGTCACAGAGAACGTTTTGTCAACACTCATACCTTTCTTTGATAGTACTCTCAAGGGCGGTGTCAGCATGTGCATTATGTATGTACCTGAGCACTGTGTATTGACAGCTAACCCCACTTTACGTACACACATGAGGGAAACAATGTGGGAGCTGATGGCGCAGGGGTCTTCAGTTACAGATCTGACTGAAAGATGACGAGTTTCCTCTTCTCGTGCTCATGTTTTTTCAATGATCAGACTGTTTATTGAATGATATATAGAGAACATTTCAAGTGTCAAAGGAAATATCATGTTTCTCTCATCGGGTTACGAGGGAAAGCAGATATTGTCATGAGTGGCGTAGCCATGAGTGAAAATATCTCCTTTTTCCCCGTGACGAAATGAGAAAAACATGAAATTTCACGAGACACATTGAATAAGCTATTTATGATATACTTTCTGTGTAGTTGTCTGCAGGACAATTAAATGATTTCATTACAAATGTGAAGCCTTGTAATGTAAAGTATCCCTGTGTAGCAGAGGGACGGTTCACCACGCCTTGTATTTGCCAGTTAAAAAGTACTTTTCGTGTTTGTAAAATCGTAATAAATATAAACAAAAGTAACAAAAAATATTTAGGGTAACGAAATTCTTAATCATACATTAAGACATGATTATATACAAAATCAACTTCAACAAATAATATGCTTGAAATCTACGGGACCGCTGATGGAAGCGAAAGAATACATGCTGATCAAGTAACCAGAAAGGCGCTTTGACGAGTTAAATGAGATATTTACTGTTTTTATCGAAACATTTTCAAGAGCAAAACAATGGGCAAGATGAGATAAAAACTCCATAAATGACCATCTGCCATTATATGGCCATGTCAATGTGGAACTAACGTAAACAGAAAGTCAACAGTTTGTGTATGAGCCAGACACTTACGATAAAGGGAGACAATTTACGGGGAGGTAACTCTTGTATGACAATAGTTCCGTAAAAGTGTTATGTTCACCGGAGTGAAATATAAAGTGTTATGGTCATTGAGTAAAATATTAGGTGTTATGTTCACTGCAATGAAAATATCTGAAACCTTTCTCAACTTCAGAAAACCCTGTCTTTCTCACTGAAGTAAATAAAATAACTGTTTTTTTATTATCATTTCCTGGTTTATTTCAAGAACAGTGATGTGTCCAGTGTTAACAGGGTAGTCTATGCTGTAATGATACCGCTTCTTTCAGTATACCAGCCACCAAGTACACATGTTAAACAGGTTTACAGGTACGAAATGATACATATCTTTTTTCTTTTAATCAGAGAAGATATAATTGGCATTGTCTGATTTTGTTTAGCAACTCGAGCACACGTAGGATCATGTTACTATTTTGATATAAAAAGAAATGATGGGTGCTGGGGAGGACCAGGTTGGAATTACTTGGCAGACCCATCCCTTGTGTCCATCCCTTGTGTTTGTCCCTTGTGTCCATCCCTTGTGTCCATCCCTTGTGTCCATCCTTGTGTCCATCCCTTGTGTCCATCCCTTGTGTCCATCCCTTGTGTTTGTTCCTTGTTTGTCCATCTTTTGTGTCCATCCCTTGTGTCCATCCCTTATGTCCATCCCTTGTGTCCATCCCTTGTGTTTGTCCCTTGTGTCCATCCCTTGTGTCCATCCCTTGTGTCCATCCCTTATGTCCATCCCTTGTGTCCATCCCTTGTGTTCATCCCTTATGTCCATCCCTTGTGTCCATCCCTTGTGTCCATCCCTTGTGTTTGTCCCTTGTGTCCATCCCTTGTGTCCATCCCTTATGTCCATCCCTTGTGTCCATCCCTTGTGTCCATCCCTTGTGTCCATCCTTTTTGTCCATCCCTTGTGTCCATCCCTTGTGTCCATCCCTTGTGTCCATCCCTTGTGTCCATCCCTTTTGTCCATCCCTTTTGTCCATCCCTTTTGTCCATCCCTTGTGTCCATCCCTTGTGTCCACCCCTTGTGTCCATCCCTTGTGTCCATGTCTTGTGTCCACCCCTTGTGTCCATCCCTTGTGTCCATCCCTTGTGTTCATCCCTTGTGTCCATCAGTTTTGTTTGTCTGTGAGCTAAAATATTATGATGAATGTCAAGTCAGTAGTTAACTATGAACATCTTTGCAACCAGACTATGCCTCAGTTCGACATAGGATATTAACTACAGTATCTAGAACTAGACAGTGCACAAGATCCAGGAGAATAGTGCCCCTTCAACTATGCAGTTGCGAGTCAGGATATGTCACTGTGGGAGACTAATGTCTTTTAAGCATTCATGTTACGTGCAAATGTGGCAGTAATTGGCGTAATTATCAGTTTGCAAGCATCAATTTATATACAAAACCTACCGACACGATTCAAGGATTTAGAAGCAAAACACATACTTCGGTTCAACTGTATTAAATTTCATACACTATCCTGAAAAAAACCTTTCTGTTTTGCAGTATGTTCAGTCTTTGTCATCTGTATTGCGACCCAGGAGAATGGATTTACCACACGAGAGTAAGTGGAGGTTGTGAACCCAATACACGTGTATGTTTCTTATTGAACTGGTTGCGTTAACGAGGCCAACGGAGCATTTGTTCTGGAAAGAATAGTACTTTATTAAGCTTATACTGTTATAATGAGGGTTAATAACTAATTGTAACAGTCCCGGCTCATGATGAACATACAGATAGTTTCATGCTTCATTACTTCACATGCCTTTAACTGGAAGCCACCCGTGAAGATACCGGGGTAGAATAGATCTTCAGCAGCCCAATCTTGCCGTAAAAGGCGACTATGCTTGTCGTAAAAAGGCGACAAACGGTATCGGGTGGTCAGGCTCGCTGACTTGGTTGATGCATGTCATCGTATCCCAATTGCGTTGATCGATGCTCATGATGTCATTCACTGGATAGTCTGGTACAGACTCGATTATTTACAGACCGCCGTCTTATAGCTGGAATATTGCTGAGTGCGGCGTCGAACAACAAACACACAAAACTGGAAATGGACTGAATTTTGTTCATTTTAGATTCTTGGAGAGATTAGAAATGTGATATTCAAATATGTATTTTACGAATATTCTTTGTCATTCCTAGAAATAATATATGCCTTGTACAATTTATAAGGTAATTAATTATATGGTATATGACAATCTGATTTATTGTTGTCACTGCAGCAGCAATCATGACAAACTGCGCTGACCACTGTAACGAACATAGTCATTTGCCGTCAAATACCATTCAAACACGTGTGTGTCTCCTATTGGTCAATTACCTTTCTTAGCTAATTCTGTTGCTCATATTTGGCAGCCACTGTTTGTTTGTTCATATAAGGTACTGTTCATAGCTACATTTGTGTAGCTCATGTTTGTCAGGTACTGTCCACAGTTACAAATGATTGCAGTTGCTTCCTTGGTATTTGATTGGCCAACCAAGCAATATTTTACGCTTCTAATTCCATAAATCAAACAAATTAGGTCATGTCCCTGAACGGACCCCGTTTCCTGGTTGCTTGGCAACACAAGGAAAGGTTATATTGGTGCGCTGAACGATGTCACTGATTTCGTTTTATTTTTTGTGTTAATGATTGAATGGCGGTTGAATAATGAAGTTAATATTGTTGTCACATTTATATTTAAGAATTGACTTTTTTGTACTTATGGAGTAATAAACGTTAAAACCAGTGTACACTTTTTTCGTCCATCAAACATCCATAAACACCAAATTATTTGAAGTCAATTCGTAAATGTTAACGCTCATATTTGTCAATTTCCGTTCATACCTACAAGTGTATAGCTCCAAATATCGACGACCTCTGATGTAAAATATGACTTAAAACTGAAGCATGGCTGGTTTCAATTCAACAGCAACCCAACCACTACTCAACACACAAAGGTCAGGTTCATCATTACCCTCATTGTCAATGTCGTGCCAAATGTCAAGGCTGTTCACATATTTAAGTATTTATTAACACTATCATCTCATAGAGACTTTTCGTTTGTAACACCATTTATGTGTGCAATTGAGCTACTGATCTTAAGATCATTAGGAAAAAGTTGTCTGGTGTAATATAACTCAGGTTTACAGGTTGTACTGCATTTGATAATATTTTTCTAAACCGGAAAAGGCATCACATGACTGGCGTGTTGTTATGTTTAATATTCGTATTAAATTTGCTGGCTCTTGTTGCTAATAGCAATCTGAAAACGCCTAATTGGTGGGGTCACTTGACACCTGGTTGTTCTACATGGTTCGTGTAGCACGTTTCTGGAACACAAGTATGTTGACATTTTAGAGTTTCTGTGGATTAAAAAAAGAGTGATGGTTGGGCTACTTCCGGCGACAAAACACTTTCCATGATCATAAGACATCGACTCCTGCTAAAAGAAGAGTTCATTGTACGACTCCGCCTACATCATAAACATGTCTTTATGAATCAATATCAAATAATTGTATGTGTTCGCCAAAAGATAAGCGTATGCTGCCCCTAAAATGGCACTCGTCACAAAACCCTTCCTAGCTGTGTGTATCTTCATTTGTAATGTAATTATTTCCGTACGTAGGAATGCATACGTTGATCGTTGCATATACTTTGAGGCTACTGTTCAGATGTGATAGAAAGTTGCTATCCTCCTTACGCCGTCATGTTTTCAAACATTTATCTTCAGAATTAAGCCCCGTTGCGGAATTGCATGTTACTGGGGAAACTCTTTTGCGTTCACGACAAAAGAAAACCGTAAGCAAATATTTGTTGTTTCTCCGTGGTTAGCATTTCATCTCACAGACAATAATGGATTAAATGGATTTATGAATCGCTTATTTTGGTTTGTATGTTTAAGGCTAAGCTTTCAATGCGTACCATATACATAATCTCTGTTTAGTAGACTGGCTTGCCTTATTGTACAATAAGTGAAACACTTACTGCAAAACCTTATGTATGAGTTAGATGATGCACTTGTTTCAGTTGAGGTACCATGTTCCACTACAGTGAGTATGAGGTCAGTGCAGATCAATGACCATGGAAGGAAGAGGTGTCCTTGAACAGGACAACCGGGAGTTGAAGGTGTAAGTTTACTTTAATGATTCACAGCTTCATTTTCAAATGTCTTACAAAATGTAAAAGCGTGTTCCAGATTAATGTGTGCTGATCATTATGTTCCCCAGCGTAATTGTAGTTCTGACGTTATACATTTTCAAAGTATCAATATGTATCTAAAATAATGTTGTTGAGTCGTCTGTATTTGTGGCCATGTTACATAGCCACGTGGTACCAGTTTAAATGGCAAACCAAACATCATAAAATTTGTTGAGCGATCCAGCAGAAAGGTACCTTAAAACTCACACAAGACACCGTGTTAAATGCATTATTTTGCCAAATATGATATTCAGTGAAAAATACCCACCACTCAAAATTGCAAATATACTATGCAAAAAAAGAAGGGGATATTTTGTTTTGAGGTGAAAATACTAGGAAAATACACCAGTGTCTGGCAATGAAATTAAGTGATAAATGTGGCAGGAACATTTCCGAAGATATCAAGCTCCCAAACACAACATTGTGACAATCAGTACGTGACCTCGGACAGCACATTACCAATGTCACTCAGACTCGGTTGTGAGCGGATTTATATTGTTTTCTTGAAGCCAAACGCCTAAAGACACTTTATTAAATACAATTAAGCATCGAGGATCCAACAGCATTGATCACGCGACGTGTGCAACGTGCTGAACGTTTCCGTACCAAAGGCATGTTGCAGGTTGGCATACGTCAGCATATTGTTGCCCAAACGCTGCATGTTTCTAAATCTGTCATCAGGGCCCCCTTGCACAAAGCGATCTTAGCGCTAAGATGATCGTAACTCCCATACTTTAACATAGGTTTACAATAGCCGTAGCACTAAAATCGCTTTGTGCAAGTGGGCCCTGAAGATTATGGGCCCGATACCAACATACCCATTACGTCGATGATCGACGCCGCTCTGGATGCCAAAGGGCAACAGATCCAGTTCAGGACAGAATAGTCAGCGCGATTGCATAAAGAAATCGGTTTGCAAACTGCCACTCAGTTGTTCAACAGGCAACTGGTGTAAGAGAATAATATTATGCCCAGACGGTGCGAAATCGTCTGCGCAGATGGCATTTGCGTGCACGACGTCCACGTGTCATCCCACAACTTTCTGCACCCCATTTGAATCAGAGGCGTCAGTGTTGTAAGAAATGTCAGCACTTAGATAATCGACGTTGGGCTAATGTCATGCTTTCTTACGAATTCCACCAACAGCAAAATATCCATGTCATGCCATGGCCAACACTCAGTCCTGACCTTTCTCCCGTTGAACATGTCTGGGACGTCACTGGCAAACGCGTACGTCAACGTCAACATCTACCAACCACTCCTAATGAACTCGGTGCTGCTCTGACTGATAAATGGAACAACATGAGTCAAGCGGACAATGGTCGACTCATCAGAAACATGCCTCGAAGAATTCGTGTATGTTTGGCCAACAAACATGATCTCATCTTACATGAAAATACTAGCTTTATTTTCCATGTAGCCCGCTCATGTACCCTGCTGAGAAATCAATCGGAACACACCTTAGGTAACTTGGTTAATTCGCATTAGTATCGTTGAGCTGAAATAAACCGATGTTTTTCCGCATGCATTGGGAAAAGGGAAGTTCGTTCGCGTCGTCTGCTAACTGTCAAAAGAGCTGAATGAAAGACTTTTACTCAATGAAACTTTGGACATATATTCCGGGACTGTATGAATGAATGTCAGTGAGATATATTTATTGTCAGCCAATCCCTGGGGGCACATGGTGTGATATACCCTGTATGTGAGCCTATGTACGCTTTGCTTGACAGTTCGGGATACATAGGCTCACACACAGGGTACATCGCACCATATACCCCTCAAGATCGGTTTACAACTTACATTACCCGATATTAGTGATGTTGGCTGCAAAATGCATACGCCATTGGGCCCCGACCTCTTTAACGACCTAGTGCACCACTATCTCATCACACCAACCATTAGAACCCATTACATCTGATCGCCTACTCCCCAGCAGATGTGTTCATACCATTTCCATTTGCCAATATCATGCAGATCGGACTATATCTCTTATGATTCCTACTTTACCCTACTTTTGTGCATAGTATATATGTCACGTTCCTGGTTCCAACATTGGACAGTTATACATACCTATAAGTCTTTGTGGAATTTTAGAACGGGAATCATTATCACTGCTGTGATGCGTATAAATAAAGTATACCATTCTTCTTTTATCAATTTTCATTCCAGACATGAGAGGGGGCACGGGTGGCCCAATCATCTAAGGCGCCGCGATTCGCTTTACAGAGTTGCGTCCAGAAACCTAACATTGTGGGTTCGAATCCCGGTTAGCACCAAACCCGTGCTCGTGGGTTTTACCGAAGTGGACCTGCATCACTTCCGGCTTTCCTCCCACATTAAGCTGACACGCCGCGATATAACTGGAATATTGTTAAAGGCGGCGTTAAACCCAACTCACTCACTCACCCTAGACATGCGATTTCAAGTTAATTATATTCCGCTCTGTAAAGAATTACACTTACTGCTGTGTAAGTGTCTCGTGGTTCATTTTCATCTTTATCTTTGCAAATGTCATTTAATGCAACTTTTAGTTCATTGTAGATCATATTTCATGAACGGGTTATTATCATTATCAGCATGTTTCGACAGTGCTCTCATCGGATGGAAGATGAGGTTGTGTCCAGATACAACAGGACAGTGCTACAAGACACAGTTTTGTACCAGGAACTCCAATGTTAATGGAACAGGTAAATTGCAAGATGTGTATTTCAAACTCTACGGCCAACCAGGTCAACATGGCGTCAGTTGCAAGAAGACACAATCATCGTTGTATAAGGTCAGATATTCTGTCTGTATAACAACTGAAAGGCAGTTTAACACATTGTCTGTGTATTCCCTGGTACAAGAGACTGAAGCAGACACAGTGATGTACAGGGGTGGTGTCTGGCGGATTTACATTCGTTGTGAATGTACAGAGGCATACTGACAATAAATATGCTTTGTTCTGTTTAATCTCCAATTGATTTGTTTAAATTCACAAATTCGAGTTTTTTCGTAAAGTAACCTTTACTCTGAATATTCATATCATAACAAAGTGAGATGAGGTGAAATGGGGTTTAACGTCGCGTTCAAGATTATTGCACTTATATAGTGACGTGCATGTACGTGTGTGTGTCTATGTCTGTGTGTCTGCTTGAACTAGTCCGGACTAATGCCAGTTTTATAGTGCTGGCCCACTGAGATACCATGCCGCAGTTTAATATGAATACCCCTCTCAGACACAGTATCCTGTGTCCGAGCCGACCAGTCCTTGTTTAAGGCCCTTAATACAGAGCGCCAGGCAGGGTAACAACAAGTACAATCTCTTGACATCTTTTAGTATGACGCGGCCGGGGATCGAACCCCCGATCTTCCGCCTTCCGGGAATATGCTATTGGGCCACGAAGGCAGTCCTTTCATCAAAAGAATGTATTATTCTCACCCTGTATGCGTATATATTCACATACCTTTCAGGCAAAGTCTCGTGTTCCTGCTCTTCGTCAGAGAACCTGAACTGCTTCAAGGTATACACCAGCGTGGAACAGAGACCTGGGTAAATACGTGTTTTGTATAGATTTTCTTAACGTAAACCTTTCAGTCTGAAAATATAGAATCTACGCCATATAGCACTATCGATTGATAACAGCAACAAATCAAAGTGAAAATGATAACATCTGCTGCTAGAATATAAGTTGTAGCAGGATCCCTCGGGGTACATGGGGTTTATGCGTCCCACGGTGGGTTATACAATCCCATGTTCCCCGAGTGATCCTGCTACAACGAATTTATCTTACCGTCATGTTTTAATATGACGTTGTGGAATAATTCAAATACATTCCAAATACATGGAAAACAGCTGCTCGATTAAGCTGAGGTTAGCTTGCGCTATGTGACGTGACATCCATTGTTTCGGAAAAAAGCGTGCGTCTTTTTGTTTTGAGAGGAGTATAAAGGATTTAATTTATCTCTCAGAAATGCACGTGCGTCCTGTACTGTTCGTGGCGTGGTATAAAATACACCCCCCCCCCCCCCCCCCCCCCCCCTGAGATATATCTTAACCTTACAAGGCGGGTTACACAGTATATTATCAAGATCACGAGGACCAATCAGATCTCATCATTCTGACATGGAGGTATGATAATACAGCTTATATCTCACGTGCTATTTCAACTGCGGCATGGTATCAAACAGGCACGCACGCACGCACGCACGCACACACACACACACACTCACACTCACACACAAACACAAATACAAACAAACACAAACAAACAGGAGCATGCGCGTCACTATAATAGTGAAATAATATTGAAAACGACGTTAAACCCAATTTCTTCTCACTTCCACCTATTTATTTCCAGATCTTGTTATATTCTGACACACAGATGATGCAGTTAGAGATATGTGTCTTGTGAGGACTTCAACTGAGTTGAAGTTGCCCATTCCCACCTTATGTTAGGTCATTGTTTTGGTCATTAGAGCAAAGCCGACCACACTATTACTCTAGCCATGATGCATATGAGAATTCCACATTTGGGGCTGTCACACATCCGGTAACTTCATGTAGTAGTCTGTGGCGACATATGCTTATGCAGACAATTATACTTTGTGAAAATGTTTCTTTTACAGATGTCTTGCTCAGTGTATTGCCTTGCCGCTTGTGTGTGAGTACAGCGTTGTTCATATCTGACGGTACTGTGGTAAACCCACTTAGGCAATATAAGTAAACATCGTTTCAAAGCATTGTGCGATCACTACAAATGGTAGCTGTACAACACCCTGTCAGTTCAATTTATTTAGAAATCGACAAAGCTAAGTTGAAATGTGTTGTATTGAACTGTAAGTCTAAAGTATCAAGTCGGTATTAGGCACAACATCCATCCGTGAAACCGTTGGTAAAACTACAACCTGTCCAACCACCGACACAAGCTCTTGTACAAACTGCTGTCCAACACCTAAACACAACACTACAACCACAAGACCAACCACAACCTCCCGTACAACTGTAAGTGATCGTACAACGGTACGGGAACGTACAACCAGATCCACCCCTGCAGCTGGCACAACTACTGCAACATCAATATTCACCGCGACTACTACAACTGGAACTCAAGGTACTCCCACCGTTACCATCAGAAGAAACCTAGGTTATTTATGTCTGAATGGTTTATTTACTCACATATAGTATGATTATTGCAAACGTGTGGATAAAAAAAGAGGTTAGCTACACATAAATTAATCTATGTACGTCGCCAAACATATTCGAGTGGTCAAGCTCGCTGACTAAGATCATTAATTAATGTCATCGTGTCCCAATTACGTAGATCGATGCTCATGTCAATCACTGGATTGTCTGGTCCATACTCTATTATTTACAGGCCGCCGTCAAATAGCTCGGATATTGCTGAATGCGGCGAATAACAAACAAACAAATAAGTAATTTTGGCAGGAAACGATAATAAATAACTAAGAGAATCACACAATTTGTGACGGTCATTTTAAAAATTTAGACATTCTCTGTGACGTGTATAGCACGAATCTTATACTGATACAAAAGCACAGTGCTTACTGTTGTTTAAGACAAGGTCAAGCCTGAAGCCTCCTCACCTGCGTCATTGCCTTTAGTGGGAGGAGTGGTTGGGGGTTGTATTGGAGGTGTCGTCATCACTGTTGCCGTCCTTCTGCTGTGGCGGGCATGTCACTCCAGGAGAAGGTATTACTTACCTGTATCTGTATGGCAACTTACATACTTCGATAAAGCGCTATTATTTCTCAAACTCTACTTCCTTAATTGAAAGTTCAAGGTGGGTCCACATTCGAAAATGCACGCACCTACTATAAAATATAAAAGTGGTTCATCAAACTGTATTACTAGTAATTATTGATAATATAAATAAAGATCTTTTTGTCCATGCGTATATATATTGCCACGTGCCCTCCGTGTCGACGCATGTTCCCTCACATGAACGTTATATTACAGACATCCACACAAGCAAGACGGATCAAGGCAGAGATGTTCTCACATATATCTCTCTAACTTATCATCTCAAGACACTACAATGACATCTACAGTCCTGGATGTAAGTCTGGCGTCAACAGGACAACATGACCCGAGTGCTCAAGAAGTTGTACATGACGTTATCCAAGACAGGGCGGTCATTCATAGACTAGCCATATATAGTAATACTTCTCCCCAAGAACGCTCTATCTATACACACCTAGACAAGCCGGACGGGGAAGAGAATGTTGACTCACACACATACCTCGGGCTGGTAAGTTGCTGTTATTCCATGTACGTGTGTTACTTGGGTATGTGTATTACACGGCAGGGGTAGGCTGTGCACAAGGGTGAGGGGAGGTGCATGCATGTATATCTATATGGCTGCTTGTACATGTATTCGTTTTGTTTGTTTGTTTATGAGGATATTCCCCTACTTAAAACACATCTCCACTAATACACTGTGACAAAACATTCTAAAGAGTCATCAAACGTGCAGTGTAAAGATCAGCTCGCGACGGAGCACGTGCAACAGCAGCAGAGAACACTATCAACTCTCCATTCCCCAAAAATAATGGAGCGTGTGTTTCTTTGTTGTTTAACGCCGAACTCATTAATATAGCAGCTACATGACGGCGGTCTGTAAATAATCGAGTCTGGACCAGACACTACAGTGATTAATATCATGAGCATTGATCCACGCAATTGGGATACGATGACATGCATCAGCCAAGTCAGCAAGTCTGACCACCCGATCCCGATCTTACGTCAAGCATAGTCTTTTTTACGGCAAGCATGGGTTGCTGAAGACCTTCATGTGTACATTTTGTCAAACGTAGTAATTCTATTTAACCTATAAGCCTTCCATCTAAACTGCATATCTGACATATGCCGTACAAGAGAGTATTTCGAGGTAAACTCAGATGGTTTCAGTGATTGCATGAATTCAACCGTTTTTATTATTTTCTCAGATTCACACATACGGTAACGCGTCATCTGTAGAACGACCACCCACAGTCCCTGACATGCAGCAACAGGACAACACGCAAACACCATGGCTGAAGACAGAGAAGACTATGAGCTCGCTAAGCAGATGCCATTGTCACATGAGTCTAGCGACCAGGGCGTCTACATAGAGATAATAGGTTAGGTATCTGGAACACACTCAAGGATGAGGTCATGCAGTGTTCAGTCCTGGAGACAGTTGACATGCCGAATGACAGGTGCAGCAACTGACTATTTAAAGTACGATGCTGCATGAACTTCATCTAATACAAAGATCACAAGAACACTATCTCCACAAAATTCCAGCTACATGACGGCGATCTGTATATAATCGAGTCTGGACAAGACAATTCAGTGATTGACACTATGATCATCGATCCACGCAATTGGGATACGATGACTTCCATCAACCAAGTCAGCGAGCCTGACCACCCGACCCCGTTAGTTATCTCTTAAGCCAAGCACAGTCGCCTCTTACAGCAAGCATGGGTTGGTGAGGACCTATTCTTACCCGCATATTTACGGGTGGAAAATTAATGGAGAGCTCAAACAATAGAAGACTTCACAGATGTGTTTTAACTGTGATACCCCACTCAGACGCAGTATGCTGACTTCGAGCCGACCAGTCCTCACATACAGAATATATGCTGCAAAACCGAATTTAGAATCAATTTAATTTTATATATATATGCTTAGATTTATAAATATGCGACTACACAACACAATGAGCTTCAAAAAATGTTTTCTATTATGTATAATATACAGTTAAGTCCCGTTGTAAAGTATTTGTCTAAATTCCCATCATTTGTTTCGGATAAAGCTAATTGGATTAACGGCTTGACTGTATCAAAAAACAAGTAAACCGCTTTCCTAATCAGTCCTGAATGGAATAAGCCTCTGGTTTTACCCTCGATGCGCCCGTAAAATCACTATCTTTCTGAAGTGGATTCCCTGATTGGTCAACATGAACGTCAAATAATCACGTCTTTTACATTCATATATTGTTCTTTTGGTATTTTCTGTAAAATTACTATGCAGATGGTGAAATTATCATAACGATTTTTTTTTATCTTTTAGATAATGAAAGACTTCTCTTTTTTCTATATTATTTCTTGCCAGATGTAAATAGCTCTTATATGGAATGTGGGTGTGGTAGATTCCACACACTCTTTTACAAGTCAACAAGGTATTAATAATTAGCGAAGTAACATATCTTATATCAAATCAAAACCAAATAAATTGTACACTGGGCAGAAAAAGTTACACCACCAATTATAATTTGTTGTTTTATTGCAGCTTTTGTGACGTGAGTAATAGACTCACCATACTCGCCAACCTACAAAGAGATGTACAGCACATTTCTCAACACATTATAGTAATTGTGAAAGTGAATTGCATGTGACAAGGCCACACGTGTATTTCTTTTCTTTTTCATGACAGGTAATGTAGTGGTTTCCTTCTGTATGTTATTAGAGATGACAAGAACAAGAAATTGTAATGTACACAAATGCAATTTTAGTTATTAGTATAGTTTTGTACATAACTGCTGGATTGTACTTTTGACTGTTTCATTTGCGTTTTCAATAGACATTAATAGACTACATGTCAAAAGTAGCCAAACATAAATAGCAGCTATTATTCTGCTATTTGGGTCTGCTGTAAAATATTTGTCCGAATTTGTAGACCTTTTTTTGGATACTTAAATATTTGCATTTCACAATGATAAAAACATTCTTGGTTCGTCCATACATATACTTGTGTCAGTGCGGGTAGCTAGGGTGGAGCTGACATTTTGCTTATTCGCAGTAATCCCTATCATTGAATGAATTCCGGAAACAAAAGGTTTTGATGTCAGCGGTGACACTTTCAATGCTATGTCATGCACCATAATTGTAAACAGTGTCAGTAAACATTTTCGTCAAACTAATGCATATCCTACATCCACAATCATGACATTACTCTGAAGTTGTCATTTAAGTAGTGGAACATCTTGGTGAGATTGTTCTTATTGTATTGGCCCCTTGGGGGTTCCAGGCTAGATGTGTGCCCGGCTACCCGTGCTTGTTGTGCGAGGCAACTAAGTTGATCAGGTGGGCTGCGTGTCATCATGCATCAATGACGTGGGATACTGCTTATAACATCAATCACTGGTTTGTCTCGTCCATACTTTATTTGAAGGCCGCCATCAATCATGTGTCAATAGCTGGATTGTTGCGGAGTGCGGCGTTAAACGACATGCAAGCAAATGTTGTCATATGATCTTTTCTTCAGTTAGTGTATACAATATGCTAAATTCACATACAATAAAGTAAAACTCTCTATGGAGCCTTACAGACTGGAAACGTATTTCTGCGTCAACTGTGTGAATAGGAGATCGACCTTCACCTCTATAACCGCAAAGACCTGAAAAAAACTATGGCTTTTAACATCTGAAATAAAATGGTACATTTGTACAGATATATTTAGGCTGAAGTATTCGTCATACCAAATGGATAATAGAATACTGTGCTTGCTCTTTAGGTTTCACCTATTTCATATTATATATTCAAACCATAAGCTGTGCAAAAACTACTGAAATTTGGGTCCAACTTCGGCGATCACCATACAGTGGACGACTGTTATCACGCACTAAAACTACCCGTTTTAACCTTCTCAAATGAACACCTGTCTCTGCTAATGTTTACGACTCTTAATTATCACCCCTCATCAGATGCTGTGAAAAAAATAAAATAACAGGGATTACAATGAAAATTATTCTTTGCAACATCTCACAGATGAGTGAGTGAATGTAGTTTTACGCTACATGACCTTACTTAACTGAGTCTGGGCGAGGTACATGAGACGCTGAGCAACTACCGTGACAGTCATATGTATACAGTTCACTAGTTTACACATGGCCACCCCATCCCAGACCCTTGACCATAGGTCTTCAGCAACCCATCCTTGCCGTGAAAGGCGACTGTGCTTGTTGTAAGAGGCGACTCACGGGATCGGGTGGTCAGGCTCGCTGACTTGGTCGCTTGACAAATGTGTGGATTGATGCTCATGATATCAATTACTGGATTGTCTGGTCCAGGCACGATTATTACGGACCGCCGTCATTTAGCTGGAAAATATTGTTAAACAAAAAAATAAACGCCATCCCGATTTCGCCTGCAACTAGCACCTGCCACCTGCCTCTGTGTTTATATACTCTTAAAAAGAAGAAGCGCATAACGGATATTTTTGGCCATAAATGCAAAATGTAAGGCCCCAAGAGATTTTAAATTAAGAGGTTTAATGTGACATGGTGTCAATGACAAATTTCCCGGATCAAAATGATCATAACAAGGACATGCAAACCATCAGTCGGGAAACACGTACGATTCGGAAAAACGCACCCAGTTTATTAACAAAAGGGCCATGGAACTGCACTACATCCGACTGCGCCACCTACGTGAAAGGACGACCACAGACACCTCAACCGCATCCCAAATACCCGGACTGCGCAGAATCTCCGACCAGACCGTACGAAACCGTACAAACATCAAGTGTTCTCTCCACAACATTTTGGCTCAATACCTTTACGGTTCCATGTATAAATGTATTGTCCTACCCCATACAAATCTGGCTTTGCGTTTCTATTTCTGAAGAGTATATGTAGAATTAAATTACACAGTAACTGTAATGCTTCTTTGTGAACAGTAAACAATGAAATCAATCATTTCTACAAACTTTGACTATTTCACGTTCGTCGTCAAGACACATAGCGCCTTCACATCAAGGAGTCTCGTCGCATGCAAACATAAGGTTTTAGCTTACAGCCTCAGATGTAAACTGTTGGACGCTAAATGCATGTAAAGTACATCCTCAGGGGCAAGAAAACAAATGTTGGAGTCACTACGTATCATAAAAATATCACTTTTTAAAGGAATTTAGATGGGGGTCCAATGTCGTCCCAAAGCGTCTCTTGAGTGTTTTGTGTTGACTTTCAACTAGATACTTATCATAACGTGTTTACTGGTTAATTAGATACACTTGATATGAAATGTGATAACAATTTGTACCTTGTCTTGGTTCGCAAAGTCCATATTCGGCCATTTAGAGAAATGTCGTTTTTCAAAATTTTCTGCATGTTTCGTGGGGCGGTCAAGGCAGGATTTTGTCAAAAGTGTGCACTTTCGTTTCAGAGCACCAAACTTGGCACACATGTACATTTACCATTTCAGCACCGTCCCCTGGTGGTAGAAAATCCAAGATGGCTGCCAAAATGGCTGAAATCTCAAATGATGTCTATTTATACTCAAAAGATCATAGTTATCTTGTCAATCTAAGTCATTTATTCAGGATTAATTGCAACAATGCTTTATATAATTCCAGTCTATCATGCAGCGCCCCCTCTTGGTGGCGAAAAGCTAAAATGACCGCCAAAATGACGTAATTTTCTTAAATTGTCAAATGTTTGTTCGAAATATCAGTATTGTTTGTTCAATTCAATAAAATTTGGGTTTGAAACAATTCCAAGAAATGTTTTACTGAATGTTGTAAATTTTACACAGTCAATTTACCTGAAGCCACAAATGAGGATTCACAGTGGAATGAACAGATTGAATTAGCTGGATTGAAATATCATTCGTGTGATGAGGTATGAGAAAACTTTCTCATGTACACATAACAACTGATTTATCTACGTATTATTATGATTATCAGTTCATCCTTTAGGCCATGGATGGACTTCGACTCCAAGAGATGGGTACATTGTATGCATGCAGGTATGAGTGTATTGTATGCATGCATGTGTGGGTGCATTGTATGCATGCAGGTATGGATGCATTGTATGCATGCAGGTATGGATGCATTGTATGCATGCAGGTATGGATGCATTGTATGCATGCACGTATGGGTGTATTGTATATGCATGCACGTATGGGTGCATTGTATGCATGCACGTATGGGTGCATTGTATGCATACAGGTATGGGTGCATTGTATGCATACAGGTATGGGTGCATTGTATGCATGCACGTATGGGTACATTGTATGCATGCACGTATGGGTGCATTGTATGCATACAGGTATGGGTCCATTGTATGCATGCAGATATGGGTGTATTGTATGCATGCAGGTATGGGTGTATTGTATGCATGCAGGTATGGGTGTATTGTATGCATGCAGGTATGGGTGTATTGTATATGCATGCACGTATGGGTACATTGTATGCATGCAGGTATGGGTGCATTGTATGCATGCAGGTATGGGTGTATTGTATGCATGCAGGTATGGGTGTATTGTATGCATGCAGGTATGGGTGTATTGTATGCATGCAGGTATGGGTGTATTGTATATGCATACAGGTATGGGTACATTGTATGCATGCACGTATGGGTACATTGTATGCATGCAGGTATGGGTGTATTGTATGCATGCAGGTATGGGTGTATTGTATATGCATGCACGTATGGGTGTATTGTATGCATGCAGGTATGGGTGTATTGTATATGCATGCACGTATGGGTGTATTGTATGCATGCATGTATGGGTGTATTGTATGCATGCACGTATGGGTACATTGTATGCATGCACGTATGGGTGCATTGTATGCATACAGGTATGGGTGTATTGTATGCATGCAGGTATGGGTGTATTGTATGCATGCAGGTATGGGTGTATTGTATGCATGCAGGTATGGGTGTATTGTATGCATGCAGGTATGGGTGTATTGTATGCATGCAGGTATGGGTGTATTGTATGCATACAGGTATGGGTGTATTGTATGCATACAGGTATGGGTGTATTGTATGCATGCAGGTATGGGTGTATTGTATGCATGCACGTATGGGTGTATTGTATGCATGCAGGTATGGGTGTATTGTATGCATGCAGGTATGGGTGCATTGTATGCATGCAGGTATGGGTGTATTGTATGCATGCAGGTATGAGTGTATTGTATGCATGCAGGTATGAGTGTATTGTATGCATGCAGGTATGAGTGTATTGTATGCATGCAGGTATGAGTGTATTGTATGCATGCATGTATGGATGCATTGTATGCATGCAGGTATGGGTGTATTGTATGCATGCATGTATGGGTGTATTGTATGCATGCAGGTATGGGTGTATTGTATGCATGCATGTATGAGTGTATTGTATGCATGCATGTATGGATGTATTGTATGCATGCAGGTATGAGTGTATTGTATGCATGCAGGTATGAGTGTATTGTATGCATGCAGGTATGAGTGTATTGTATGCATGCAGGTATGGATGCATTGTATGCATGCATGTATGGGTGCATTGTATGCATGCAGGTATGGGTGTATTGTATGCATGCACGTATGGGTACATTGTATGCATGCAGGTATGAGTGTATTGTATGCATGCAGGTATGGATGCATTGTATGCATGCATGTATGGGTGCATTGTATGCATGCAGGTATGGGTGTATTGTATGCATGCAGGTATGGGTGTATTGTATGCATGCAGGTATGGGTGTATTGTATGCATGCAGGTATGGATGCATTGTATGCATGCACGTATGGGTGCATTGTATGCATGCAGGTATGGATGCATTGTATGCATGCACGTATGGGTGCATTGTATGCATGCAGGTATGGATGCATTGTATGCATGCATGTATGGGTGCATTGTATATGCATGCAGGTATGGATGCATTGTATGCATGCAGGTATGGGTGTATTGTATATGCATGCACGTATGGGTGCATTGTATGCATACAGGTATGGATGCATTGTATGCATGCAGGTATGGGTGTATTGTATATGCATGCGCGTATGGGTGCATTGTATGCATGCAGGTATGGATGCATTGTATGCATGCAGGTATGGGTGTATTGTATATGCATGCGCGTATGGGTGCATTGTATGCATGCAGGTATGGATGCAGAGCAGATGCTGTGCCCCCTAGAGGTGCGTGACCTTGAAAGTCACAATGAGGAGACTATGGGTAGCTTCTACATACAACAGCGCGATGAAGTCTATCCAGTTGTGTGGAAATCACTGACCATGTCCAATACACAGTGTATTTACTGTAGTGCTATCGAACACTCGTTTGTAAGATAACAAGTATGTATAGTGTAGAAATGACTTGGCCATGTCAAGTGGACAGTGTAGGTTCGAGTCAAACCGACGTCCACTAAAGCCACTTGCAGCAGCTACAATGGTTCCTGGTTTCTTCCAGAGAAGGTCTGTAGTATAAAACAGGATGGTAAAAGTGGAAAACGAAAAAGCGTATAAACACTGACAAAATAGTTAACAATTGAAGCCAATCGTATTTGTTTGAATAATGTGTACTTATATTTTATTTTATCATTGTTCATATAATATACGTCTATCTCGGTACAGGAT